CAACCTCTTTACCAGAGATATCCGTTTGACTAGAAATCCATAAAAATAAAATATCAAATGGTGATTTCAGAAGCTTAGAGATATTGTATCTAATCTTAAGAACAAGTTATTTAGGATGTGGTAAAAATATATTAAAATTGAGGGATTCCGAGCTAGAAAATAAGTCGCAATCAAGAATTTCTTATGAGAAAATAGGTTCAAGATATTCTTAAATGACGTAGCATTCGTCAGTGTAAAATGATGCAAAAAGCGGTACATTATGACGTAACGAGATAAAACTGTACTTATAATTTTTATGTACATAATTTACTACATTAACGGTGGCATTTATACTTTTATTTTTGTATTAAATACATACCTAATAAATGTGAATACTCAATAGAAATCTATCACTGGCAAAATTGTCATACCAATTCAGTTTTTGACAATAGTCAGATTTTGTCGGCACGATCCATTTGCTTTGATTAAAAAATATCCGAATAAATTATTGTTGGTTCTCTCTTTGTTTGTTTAAAACCCACAAAACATCTACAGCAGAGATTTTTTTCACACGTACGCCATCCTCGTTTTCCTTCCGTTCCATATCATGACAACTTGCTGTGTATGGTGAAGGTGACATATTAGTTTTGCCTTTTTCGTCTCGGTGGGTGTTTTTTCATTATTTCTTATTCTCCGACACAACGCCATGGTGAGTGTGTTTAAAGAAATGGATCGGTCGGAAAAAGAAATACCCGAGTACAGACTGGTATGCGCACATATCTTCTTCCTGTGTCTATGCTAAAGCTCTGCCGGCTCCAGTCAAATTACAATCGCTATCCCAGTTATTGCCCAGGATTTGGCCGAGGGGATGGATGAAAAGTGACGAAAACGTATAAACTCGGTTTCGTGCATTTATACAGTGAGTGTATCATAAAACTTGCTACCAGTAAATCCCCACCATCAGAAACTATTACGCTGAGAAATATTAGACTTAAAGTTAGACAATTTACGACTCGGCGAAATAATCAGACCGAGATAGTACATAATATGATATTATCTTAATCTCATTATTTTGTAAACAAATTCGACTAATACATTATTATCACGTGTAGAGTAAATTAGTTATATCCTCATATTTTAAACAAGATTTTTTTAAACATTTGTTGTTAGTATTGTCTTTTTAAATAATAATATAATTCTATTAAAGAAAAACTCCATTTCTAAAAATGTAATCACGACAGTACCTAATCAAACATTTCCTACGAAATCAACGATGTCATTATTTAATGATATTTCCTTATGAATATTTCTTTATGAATCCTTTCAAATGTCGTATTACTATCTAAATTTTAGATAATATATTACATAAATAAAAAGTTGATTTAATTAAATACTAACGACGTATGGCTTATCCTATACTGACACTGATAACATAATCATTATTTACTTCGAGTTAACACAATATTTAATTTTGGACTTAATTAATTATAAATGTTTTATAATTAATTTTTTTGTTAAATTGACAATATTCGTAATGTGATTAAGCACATAATATATTATTTGGAATTCACATAAATTACTGCGAAAGCATAAAACTCTAATGGTTGTACCGAAGTAGAACAATTTTTATCACATCAAAATTTTACAGAACCATAACAATAATAATGATATACGATTCCATTTGGTATATTCGCATGACTGCGGTAGATAAAAATGAATAAAATAAAGTACAAAAACAATATCGAATCAAAAGTCCGTGAATATAATAATATAGTAAGAGAGTGTCAGCCAAAACGTTTTGATAACGACTCCCATTTATTCCTCTTTTTTTAGTTCGGTTAGGAAAAACACCATTCGGTTTGGGTTGTGTAGCCTGAACATCTTTATGGGTCTCGTGCATCAGAAACGTTTATTGACCCCGATTCCCGGCCACCGAACACTTGAAGTGAATCTCGAAAGATTTACATAATATTTCTAACGAATGCCCACGTACTCAACAACCATCGTCGAGAAAGATCAAAAACAGAAGGTTTTGTATTCACAGAGTTAATTGAAAGAAGAATTTAGGGAAATCACTTTTCTTTGCTGACAAAAGCCTTTATATATAAGAACTCCTATTACGAAGTCTACACGTTCGTACAAATATACATACATTATACAATAATATATATATATATATATATATATTATTTATTTTATATATAATGATATTTGTATGTACGTACATATATAAACATAATGCGCCTGTTAAATCTTGTAAGGAAATATGTATACAATACGATCAACTCAAGGTGTCGCGAAACTTCTTGCGTTTTATGTTGTCGACCAAATTATCCATTAAGGTTAATTTATATTTTAACGCAAGGTTAATTAAAATTCGTTCAGAGTCTCTCGCGTTAAACACGAATTCACAACTTATAAATAAAAAACGCATAACATACTTATTATTCTTAAAAATGTATTGCCGTTTCAAAATCTATACATAAGCGGAAATACTTATTATGTCGTGGTATATAATAATGTTTTTCACTTCAATATTTATAATACCACGAATTACATTTTGAACAAAATAATAATACAATTCGAAATCAATGTTGACCTTTAAGGTATAAGAAAACTTTATGAAGTTTTTAATGAAATAAAATAAATAATTAGAATTTTCTTCATGCAGCTTAATATAGTGTTAACTTTATTATTATAGTTTATAAATTATTTATAAGTTATACCAATCATTTTTTTTCTCAACTAGTATTCAAATACTAATTATTATGATTAATTACAATTAAAAATCAGTTTGGTTTTTAGTTACAAGCCATCCTGGAATGACATCCACCTCAAATTTTAAATTAGACAGCCGTGCATTATGTTAAATATTATATAACTATTTAAGCAAATAATGGTTTTATGTAAAAATAAATGTTAAACTTTTTAAATAAAAGTGTTCCCAATTAAAATAATAAACTGTGTTGATTCTTAAATAGGTACTAATAACTGGTATCACTGTCTAATAATATATTAACATTAATATTTAATTGCGTTCTTAATTCTGCTTGTTGATTATGATGTTATTTAAAGTTGATTGAGTTTATCTTTAAATAATAATTATTTTCGTAAACGTGAAAAGTTATTTGGCGGAATTTGTAATCACTAAAATGGGATAGTCGCGTGTTAAACGCCAAATAACCAAAAATGGACTAATGAAATTGTAGTAGGTATATCTGCAATTCTATTTAGAAAAATTTGCCCGACGCTCAAAGGTGCTGAAAAATCGAAATAAAAAAGTTTAGGTTTTTAAGATTATATATTAAACAATATTTTCTGGGATTTTCGAAGCCTGTCAGTAACTGTAAGATTGTCGACATGTTGCTAAGTCCAATCATAGATTTATCATTTTGCGTTTGGTATATATTATTTGAAAGTGTTACCCATAATATACAATAAACTACATTCATATTATTATACAATAGGCATAAAAGTCCAAGTATTTCCCTCAAAAGATTCAAAAACCCATTTCAAATAAAAATTTTTACCTTTTTTTTTATTCGATGCATTTTTAAAATATTGCTTTAAAGGTGATGGCGATTTTTTATGAGGTAGTTGCACAGACACCTGTAAAAGCTGATATGAAAACCTAAGCCCTTTATCAAATTATTGCATCAATTATATACTAAACTGATTATTTACACTATAACAGTACCCTACTATTATTATTCCGGTCTAACAGATAACGAGTTTAATATTTTCAAAAACAATTTATGGCAGCTTTTAACTTTTATAACTTTCACAACTATTTTTACAACAAACAAAGAAAATAGAAAATACTTAGCAACACTTGTGGTTATATATTATAAAATAATTAAATATTTAAATAAACCCTTAACCATAAAAATAATTCTTTAAAGCGTATACGTATTTCGACAGCGATGTTACCATCATGATAGAACAGACTGTAACTGACAGGTATCTGATGTATGCGCTGATGATGGTAACATTGCTGTCGAAATACGTATACGCTATAGAGAATGATTTTTATAATTAAGGGTTTATTTAAATATTTAATTTTTTTATAAAACAGACATAGTATTATCAAAGTTGTTTAAAAAGACCAGAAAAATATCAAAAACCATTCCCCCCAGAAGTGGTGGAAACTTTATTCTGCTATTTATGTATAGTTAACTGTAATGTTTTAGTTGAAATACTTTTTTTTTTCATTAATCATAATTTTAGAGTTTTATGAAGTAATTAAAAATCCTTTGACATAAAAGTGAATTAAATACTTTTTAAGTATAATTTTACTTAAATGCTATTTTCTCTCGCATTGCGCTATTAATTATTTACATTTTGATCATTGCATATAACACGTTATGATATTATTACGCCCGTCGACCCATATTTTTCATTATAAATCACAATTGATATTATTTTAAAAAATATATAATTGTCTTTTATTGTAATACATATTTTACCACACGGTTGATGGCACCCGTGAGGTTGTGGCCCTTGTACCTTGTGTAGGTTACCGGTACCGATAGCTATGGACGAATCAAATATAGACGACAGTATTGCAGTGAAATGTATAAATCCCACGTAGACACGTCAGCCATGGAAACGATGAAGTGCTGCTATTACACGGGTACGATTTTAACGTCTGTCGTTTCCGCCGCGAAGTAAAACAAACAAGTTGGATCCAAGACGAGCCGGCCGATTCCTACATTCTACTCGTCTCCGTTTGACCCATTATATTTCAACCTTTGACCGGAGATGGTAAACTATTTGGGAGGCTCGCCTGAATGATGTGGAAACTTTACCGGCGAAATCTCGTTAAACCTCGTTCAAGCCTTTTTCCCCGGTGGCTTTTAGGCAACGATTTTTGTAAGCATTCGACGACGCGTCGAATTGACTCGCCGGCCATTACCGCCAACTCCTACCAAAACACCCCAATTTCGGGTTAAACCCTTTAGTATAATGCCCGTGCACACGAGTGTGCGTGAGTACTGAGTAATGCCGTTTATTATTTCCAGGATACGGGAACATTACGCCGAAAACAGCCGTTGGAAAAATGGCCACTATGGTGTATGCGTTGATTGGCATCCCGTTGATGTTGGTATACCTGTCGAGCATTGGCGGACTCCTGGCTTGGTGTGCCAGAGGAATATTCACCAGGTAACTCGTATAATACTTTTTTAATAATAAATTTGGTTTTTTTTTGCTAACTAAATAATGTCACAAAAGTGTTATGTATCTATTGCCTATGATGATGTTATGCCAAATATAAGTCATAATAAAACAAAATAAACTCAAAATTTCCAAATTTTTTTGGATACTCTTGAAATTTTGTTCTAATAAAAATTATAGCCCACCTATTAAAGTAGATGCAAGTAATACTATATTATTAACAACATAACATGAATTGATAAACAAATAAAGGAATACGGGATGCAGCTGCGGATAGTGGCTAAAAGCGGTTGCCCTAGCCCCTTGGGTATTTCTAATAAATAGAAATGGATCTGGTGATTGATCCAAAATTAATGATATTTGCGTAAAAGGATACTTAAAACAATTCATTTGGAGTTATTAAATAACTTGTTAGCTGGTTAACGTTTGTAGTTTTTAAATCAGTATTTAGATACTGATAAGTAGTCTAGTCAGTGAAACCGCATAAGAAAAGTTAAGTTTTATTTTGTTCAGTTGACTTTTAGATTATTTATAAATAATCCGTTCCCTATAACACGCGTTACCGGTTACATAAGAAAATTAAAAAAGCCAACTTACAAAGACTTGTTTTATCTGCACACGAGTTATTTCATTTGGATACTATTGCAATCCGACTAACTGATAATAGAGTGACTCTTCTATTTTTTTTTATATTTCCAAAAGCATCCATTGTCAATGATCTAAGTGTTTCCTATTCACCCTTTGTAAACCCGGCATGTAACACAACGTTGGTAACATTATCCTTTTATCCAAAGCCGTTCATCCAAAACAAATCACATCCGCCAAAAATATAGCATTTAGTCTTGAACCAGAAAGAAGTTTTCTAATACTCTTTGCTTAAACATAATCATTTTAAAAGAACATCTCAATTAGAGTTAACTAGGGTGATTGTAAAATATATATATTTTTTTAATTAATTGATAATTTTTTATTTTAATTCGATATCATTAATTAAAAGATATTAATACTACTACATAATTAAATAAAAAACGAAAATTGCCAGTTCTGTCCATAAAAAATTGCATATACATTTGCTCCATTCGTTTACAATTGCCCTACTTAACCCTAACAATAAACGCAAGCAAACATAAAACGTTTTTCTTTTTTAAACATTCTGATATAATGGCTAAATTAATGGTGTAAGATCTTTTATGTTCTCTTTGGCTATTATTGCAACTCCAAACGCTCGTCACGTCGTTGGATTTAATTTCTTTTCATACTAGGTACTACCTCGTCCGCGTTCTAACTCACCTGTGTACTTTTCTCACAAGTGCTAATGATTTTTCCATTATATTTCCGTGTATTTTTTGTATTTTTATATGATAGCAGAATTACGAGTAACGGTATTGTTAAAGATTAAAACAAAAGATAAGATTTTATAAAATTAAGAAAATCAAAAATGACGAAATGATAAATTTAGAAGAACAATTGACAAATTATAGATTTTCCTTTATTATTTAGTAAAACATTAACAAGATATATATGTTTAAATTATTTACATTTTTGGTTACATCTATATTGACCTATTGGAATTGCCAACGTTTCGGAAACATTATATCTTCCATCTTCAGGGCTGTATTTTTGTGCTAATGTTACTCGATCCATTGCTGCTGCCTTTAGATTCACCAGTCTACAAGCGACAACGTATAACACTCATCTTCTTTGAAAATAGTTACAACTTTTTAGAGAAAAATTATGTAGTTATTTTACAGTATTAAAAAATAATCAAATTTTAAACTTTTTTGATGAATTCTAGAGTTTTATCAACTTTTGAAAATGAAATGGTAACGTATGCACGAGTAGGCTAGAATTAAAAACTCACATGATCCAAAAAAAATAAGAAAATGAGTTGCCAGCACAGCATTAAAGAATTTTTGACGCTGAACTCGAATGTGTTATAAATTGGTTTTAAAACCTACCCAGCCAGTCTAGATTAGACCTTGAAAGTTATGGTTAGTGTGAAAACAAATATAAATTTAAATAGTTTTTTTGCGTTTTCTGAAAAATCTGGTTTGATTCTAGCCTACTTATACTTAAATAACTTTTCAAGTTAAGAATAATTTGCTGTAAATGTTGGATGGTCGATAATACATTTTGAATAATTACTTTTAGTTATTAAAGTTTAAAAATTAAGACGGGAGGAAGAAGGTGGTTGAGTAATGTGTACAGATAAAAATAATACTTCACACCCTTCATTCCGTCTACTATACTTTTTCTATGATAACCCGAAGAGTAAAATAAAAGTCGATTGACCTTCCTATCTAATATTTATAGATTTTAATATTTCACGAAACACTGACTGCAATATCGTTAAATAATAGATTTATATACATTCTCCACGGTCTCAGTCCAAGCTGTGAAACACACGTACAACCCCCACCTTATCAATCCCTGCTTACTTTGGGGGCCTTCAGAAATCAAGTACACAATTAAATATGTATTTATGGTATGAGTTTTTAAGTATAATCATACACAGTTAGTACATCGAATGTGTAGATATTATATTTCTTATAAAATAAAATAGGAAATAAACAAGTTAGTAATTATAGCAAATAGTTTAATGCACATCCATTAACAAAATAACCATCGTCCACCAGAATATAATCCTTCTAAAAAATTGTATGTATTTTAAAATGTATAAAGTAACCATCTATTATGAATACTTTGACAAAAACGATACAAACTACAATAAGAATAAAGTAAGAATAAAAAAAATATTTTGGATTATTTTTAAATTAAAATAAAATCATATTGATTAAAACAATTGACAATGAAAATTTTAGTTATTAAAAACTAACAATAGTTTTTCATAAAATAAAAGTTTATACAAAAATAATTTAATTAGAAGCGTCATTTTTTTGATAAGTTTCCAAACAGTGTACGACAGGACATTTTTTTGGTACATTATCGATTATCATTATATTTTGTAATTAATAAATGTGCATATAGATTCGCAGTACACTAAACAATAGAAATCGCATGTAGTAACATTATTTACTGTTGTAAATAGTTATAATAATTCTTTATTTAATCATATAATATTATACTCAATGCTAAAAAAAAATATGTATTACTAATGTCAACACTGTAATACGACGTATAATAACACATGACCATATTAATGTGGTAATAACGTTTGTTGCAGATCTCTGTGCTGTTGTTTGTGTTCCAAGTGCGGGTACTGTTGTTACGACGAGAAGCTAATGGAACAAAAAGAGCGGCGGATGAAGCTGAAGCGGGAGCGCAGGGAGTACGATATGCAAATGAAGTCGTTGTCGGGTCACGCGCTTGAGCCGTACTACGTCAGGCCGGGTGACACGGACGACGTATTCCATCGGGTGGCCGACAAGGCGGCGGCAACGGCCATCGCCTCGGCGGCCGCTGCGGAAAGCGCGGCGGACAGCGTGGAAAATGCCAGCTTTATTCCGTTGCTAATGGTCGGGTTCGCGTTCATGTCGGCGTACATAGCGTGCGGCGCCGCGATACTTTACAACCTGGACACCGGCAAATCGTACCTTGACTGCGTTTTCTTCTGCTTTATGTTGCTAAGCACGATCGGCTACAGCAACTCACGGCCGCTAGAAATGACGCTGACAAGCACCGTGACCGTTTGGTTCTGTTCGGTGTACATACTGTCCGGCATGGCGATGACCGCAATGTGCTTCAACATCGTGCACCACGGCGTATCCACCAAACTGAAAACACTGTACCACCATCACCAACCTGTGCGCGACGACGGTCGCCGGTTGAGCTGCGACGGCACCAGTATCAGCGACCTGACGCACGGCAACGGCGACCACTCTTGACGTCAGTCGAATGGCGGCGTACACCGTGACGACGTCAACCCGGAAGCTGGGTGCTCGGTGGCTATGGCCAATTTCATTGGCCACAACGGATACCCGCAGCCCGAAATCGTGGCCATCGCCACTGGAAAACCGGCCGCCGTAGTAGACATCGACCCGTTAATCGTCGACTGTTTCGACATTAAGTTCGACAGCGTGCTGACCCAGGCGTCGTCCATGTCGGTGGTGGACTTGACCAATTTAGAAACCATAACGGAATCCGAAGACCCGATCGAACAGTGTTAATAACGACAAAAAGTGTACCAACCTAACAAGGCACATGAGGGTCATGAGGTTTCAACCTTAATTATCAAGAGCAACAATGAACGCTAACCAACTATAGCAACTTCCATTAACATGTTTAATACCAGGTGCCCAATTGTCGGTACACAAGTACATTAATCGATGAACAAAAAACATGGGTCCTTATTTTTCGTTTTACATGTATCATGTTATTGCGACACTATTTATACAAATTTAATTTATTGTAAAAAAAACCTTGTTTTATAATACGCGAGTCAAACGAATATAATAGTAATATTAAAAAAAAATAAAAGCATTTAGTGTAAATTTATAGCATTTACCCTCCCACGATCAGTTTTTAATTGTTTTTGGTTACATACATTATAATTTATAACATAGAAACAAACATTATAACAGGTTTACAAATGAATTGTTTATTTTGTTTTTTGTAGATCATAAACTTTACAATTTTTGCCGTAACATCAATCAATACATAACAAAATCAACTACAAATATAACTAGTAGATTTAGTGTTTTTAATAATAAAACAATCATTTCTAATGTTCAAGTCACCAAACTTAAATTCTTTACTTTTAACCATGGTATACTTTTAGTGGTTAAAATAGCACTTTATTGTTGCTAGCAGACATTTTCTTTTTTTTTATTATGTCTTTCATGGTTTTGTTATAATTTGTTTTCAGTGCAATAAAATCACCATAAATTACATTATATTATATTCGTACTATATTGCATTTTAAAAAGAACGCACTAGATCCTTTTACTATAACAGCATTAAAAAAATAACGAGTATACCGTGATTATAAAATAAATTACCCATTATTTGAGTATAACTTTAATACAAAACAATAAAAAAATATTTCTTTTAAAATAACGATAACAATAACACGTAGTGTTACCGATCTAAATGATAATTTAAAGATTTATATTGCCCGTAAAACTTTTATAACTACTCGTATATCAATACAAATTGAAGTAATGTACCTATAATAAAAAAATAATTCAAGCCAAGAATATATTTTGTTAATTAAAGTCATAATAATTATTTACCCTTAAAATTAATATATCTTCGTTTATAATTGAATTTTTAATTTCTACTTGCATGGTTTACAATATTAATTAAAACTTGCAGTGTTGCTCACAGATGTTTTTACTTACTATAGGAGGTAACACTGTTGATTTAAATATCATTTTTATTTAAATACTAAATACAACTTAAGAAGCCATTAAGTTGGTTGCTACTTGTCAGTATTTTCTTTTTATTTAATGTCTAGATATTTTCAAACTATTTTCTTTAGTAAATTTATATATATTGTCCGCTAATAATTTTTTTTGTACGTTACCATAACTGGTTATTATTTTAATTTAATTTTAAGTGTTATATTTTCATTATAACTATTTTTAAACTTTACTAATATGGATTACCAATGATTTCAGACATATTATATCAAATCTGTGTACATAGATTTCATTTTAACATCAGTCAGTTGCATTTGTTCTGAACTGTATGTATAAATAAATATACTATTATATCGTTTATAATATTAGTTATTGTTTTTATTTGCGATTGTAAATCAATTCGTCACGGTTGATTGTATGTTTGTGTTTAATGCAAAAACTACAATTCACTTTTATCTTTTTACCAAAAATATTCCATAAAATATTTCGACTAATTGTCGTAAAAAAAATTGACTTATATGCAAACATTTCTATGAGACCGATGTATTATTTGTTAGACTTAATATAAGCTCTATACAAACGTGACGAATTGACGGTATAAACTTATCCACAATTCCTATTATTTTTAAAAATATATACGATCATTTTTATATATATAATCATTTATAAGTTTGTTTAGTACAAATAGACACCAAGGCCGAGACACACTTAATATCTCCGCTACACGAAAAAAAATAAAATCACGTATATGTTTTTCTCTCCTCTCCCCTTCCCACCTTACCGAAATTGAGGTGTCACAAAATTGTCGACACAAATTGGTCTGGTATAATTCTGCTATGATGTCGCTAATTCCAGGTTGACCCTTCAGCCCAAAAACATATTTATGGTAACTTTTATACGACGTCAATATATTTGGTCCAAGTAGATGTTTTTAGTAAGCCTGAAATAATAACACTAAGCCTAAATCTATATCTAAGACATTGATATTTTGTTATTTTTGCCAAGCAAAAGCTTATCTTTAACAACTATATGGTTACATTGTAAAAAAAAATCGATACTCGATTTACTATTGACACAGATATCAAACAATAATCTATGGTCCAATTCGGTAAAATGACAATGGAGACAATGATATGTTGGAGATTGAACTTCTCGATTTTCAGATTTACGTTTTGGATAGTGCATAATAGTGTGAAATGCGTTATGACTGGAACGGTTTCGTAATTGAGATTTGCACTTATCTTGCGAACATAGTCAACCGTATTATTATTTTTAAAAAAGCCATAAAGACGTTTTACTCTATAAACCTTAACGGGTACGACAGCAAAAAGCGAAACGTTTTAGACATGTCGTGAGACATTTTAAAAGTTGTTTCTACTTACATGGTATAGAAATTAACTATTAGTTTAACAAATATATATATATATATATACAGGATGATCATTTTATCGCGAATCACTCAATATCTGATTGGTTTATTTAATAATTGATATTTTTTTCATCAAATATTTATGTTACTATTTAAATTTCAAAAGGTAATATAAAACTAATAATTTTGGAAGGGAGGTAAAAACAAAAAAAATTGTAAAAATTGTGATCACATTGTATAAAAGTACTATGAAAAAAAAAAATGTCTTACTAAGCCTAAGAGATATTGAGTGGTTTACGATAAAATGATCACTCTGTATATAAACTTTTCTTGATTTTTTAACAATCAAATTCGATATGTTATTTATTAAAAAAAAAATTATGGCCTCTTTGTTTTACTAAAAGGATAAGCATTTTAGTATACTTTATCTGCAGTTATCGAAAACTCAATTTTATGGAATACTACGAAATAGTATAAATTAAGCATATCAGTAGCCCTAAAAAAAAAAATTTTTAAAAAAGTCTATCTATCTATCTATAATTATACGTAATGATATTGTATTTGTCATTCAGGCTTTATGAGGTTGTGTGGCAAGTTGTTGACCGCAACTTAAAAAAATTAAAAACATTTAGATGTCACCAATAAATTATTAAATAGCCAATTTATTTGTTCAATCAATTAAAGAATTTTTGGAATTATTGCAACTACAACTGCCAATTTCTGGTTACTTCTTATTATACTGAAAATATTTATTATAATTCAAAATAATGGATAGCACTTATAAACACTGCGTTGAATTTGAAGTACATTTCTAGGTAATAAGTTTAAAAAATAAGTATATGATATTATACCTAGAACTATAACAATTTATTTTGACAACGCACTACATATGTTTTGGCCCATTGGCCAGCAAGAACAGACTAATATGCTTTTCATTTTAAAACAATTCACAAAAACTATTGTATGTAAATGACAAATACCTACAGCGTAAGGTGTGTAAAATCTAGTTTTACTTTCAGACAAATGTATGGGTGCATAATGGACCACAATAAAAACAAATTTGAAAATGCTGAGACCAAATTGTTTATTAAAATTACGTTTCTTAGTTATTTTTTTCATATATATATATTTCACATCTAGAAACTATTAAAAAATTATATTCGACTGGTTATTGTTATTTTTAACAGACATTTTTTATTAACATTTCTGCTGTAAACACTTTCCTACTCTTTTAGACCCAGAACATAGGATGTACCGAATCGGTTACACGTATTATACTAATATATAAATAAGAGAATGTGAATGTTTTTTAACAAGCAAATTAATTTGGTTATTAATTAAATAATAATTGATAATTGATTAAATTTATTGTTTGAATTTAAAACATAGTTCAATAAAATAAATAATCCGTTTTTTTGGTTTTTCCCCGTACATATTTTGAATTTCTATCCAAGTACCTATGTATGTTTTATTGGAATAATTAGTATATCATAGTAAAGTACATATGCTATAGAATATATAATAATAAAAAAATCAAACCTTTAAGAGACTCTAAAAATATTTAACCTTATTTAGGGTGAAATTAAAACGTTTAAGTTAAAATTTAAAACCTAAATCAAGTATTTCATTACAAAAAAATAATTTAAATTAAAATTATACCTTCTAAAACCAACATAGGCTCGTCTTTTTTTATCATTTAATGGATAAATTATAAACAACAAATAATTACTCTATTCGTGATTTGTTATTTATTCACAAATTATTCAATAATGATTATTCGACCAAATCAACGAATTATTCGTATTATTCGAGTCTTTAAAAAATAAATTATTTAGCTCGTTTTCCGAATTGAAAACTGAGCAAGAAATGAAAACCAGTAATAATCCAACTAAGAAGAGGTCCAAATAAATACACGGTCGCGTAAACATCAAGAGAAGTGATGGAGAAGAGGGAGGAAAGTTTCTAGATTAAATATGAGGCCATATATTTTCCTTAATATTTTTCTCTTAAATCCGATTATGCTATGATGGTTTTCTTTTTTACTTACTAAAGTTTCACAACCATACGTTAAGATCGAACGTAGCTTGTATACAGGATTTATTTTTTATTTTTGTGATGGACTTTTTGATTTGAACAGATTTTATAGACTGAATTGCTATTAGCGCTTGCCAATCTATCTTTTATTCTTCATAAATATCATTTTCACTATTTTATGTTCACTCCAAGGTACTTCAATGGACGTATTGATTGTCATTGGTAATACATCAGGATAGCGTTTAAACCATTTCAACTCAGATTTTTGGGTAATTAATGAGCGAAATAAGCTAATCACAATAAATTTAAAAAATGTTCTTTTGTCTTTTGGAAACGTATGTGCTACCGTTAATGAATCGGCCTGTATAAAATACATTAGGTATATTTGAATTACTATTTTACTTGGCTCGCACACGTAGTATAAAATGGTAATTAAATATATTTTAAAAATTTACGAATGTAGCCATAGATAATTGTACTTTATTTAAAATGCACATATCGTATAACTGTTTCAAATTTGCCAACACGAACACAACGATTTACGGTAATATTATGTTGCTTTAAATGCATCAATAAAACTCTGATATTATAATACTCAGATCGTAGAATAGTTTTAGCCGTATTACCGCATAAACTTTTACGTCGCCAGATACTTATATTATAGAGTTCACTTTTAGCTTTTAACACAATCATATAATTTTTTTTTTATATAGCCTTTATTATTATAAAATATATAATATTAA